GCTTGAGCAAGGGCTCATAGCCAAGGCTGCATATGGTCCCTGCAACTTCTGCCCTCCTTCAGTTGCCTCTGTCCCCTTCTCCCTCATCACCCAGAATGCACTCCTCTCCCAGCACTGCAGAACCCATTTAACAAGTGCCCAGGGTCCAGAATCCCTGACCGCCAGCACATTCTCTTGTTGGGCTGACCTAGATCCTCCTGGCTTCAGCTGGCGGACACTCCAAAAGGCAGCATGGATAGAGATGCCAAGGAAATCAGTACCCTAGCCAGGCCTCCCGGGTCACCAAGGCCTGCGGCGTGGTCACTCGAAGAGGCTGAGCTCCCTCTGCAACCTGGCCAGCTTTGGGGTCCCAGAAGGTTTTCCATTCATGAGCACATGGACTTCAAAGCAATCATGACAGCTAGAGGAACAAGAAAGCAGGGCATTCATTCATTAGCAGCAAATCCCACTAGATAATCTTAGCAAATAAGGCAAAATGTCAGTTCAATGGGGCTGGCAGAGATATATGCTGTTCCTCCCTCCCAGCACCCCAAGACAAGGGGGCCAGATAGGTAAACCCTGGACAGATAAACTTTGAGCCTGAGGAAGGACTAGAGGCCAGAGACCCTGCAGGAGACTGGTGGGGACAGTGATAGAGGAGAGAGGTTCTGCTCTGGTCACTCTGGATAAGGCAAGTCTGCAGAACAGTAGAGGCCCCGGGACATCCTGGAGCAGAGGCAAGTTTGAGAAAGGGAGGGAAGAAAGCAGAACGAGCGCTAATCCTGCCTGGCTCACGCACACAGACTGACAGCTGCCGGGAGCAGGACAGATGGTCCTTCCCTCATGAAGAACATGGTGTTAGAGGGAGGGTGGGAGCCAGAACCAGCCACATAACTGCACATCTGGTGGCCTGGGGGCGACAAGGGAGAGTGGTGGCGGGAGAAAGGGAGGAGGATGGGGAAGGGCCCCCCATTTCCTATACTGAATGAAAGGAACTGAGCCATCATTCATGGCACCCCATCCTTCCTCACTTCTCCGGAGCCTGGGTGCCTGGTTGACCAAGGGCAAGGATTTGAGATTCCTGCTCTCCCCTGGGCCCCACAAACAGGGAATAGGGCCCTCCTCTTCTCTACACTAAACATGATCGTGACCCTCAACCTTCCTTGCACCTGTATTTTCTGTGCATGCTTTAGTGAGAAAACACATACCCTTTGGTCTGATTCAGTGATCACTGAGAACAGCTGGCTTATTTCAGGTGCCCGGTCTCAAAGGTCTCTGCTCAGTGTTGTCCTTCAAGTCCTATCCTGCATTAACTTGTAAGGCAGGGCATAGCCCCTGGGGTATGCCCATGAAATATTTAGCGATGGTGTCAACCAACTGCACCAGAGTTTCCATGCATGGAACCCAGGCACCTCTATTATTCAAAATCTCCTAAGCGATTCTAGTGTGCAGATAGGGTTAAGAACCATTAGGCTAATGGGACCCAGAGCCATATCACTAGGAGCATAGTACTCAGGATCAAGGAGGTGAGAGGCTGATCTATTATGAGCTAAAATATTACCATCCATGCCAGGGCTTCAGTCTGAAAGGACAATGATGAAACATGTCCAGAAGATGGCAATGGAGGCGGGGGAGAGGGAGGTGGGAGGGTGAAGAAATCATATCAGCTGAGGGAGGTTGAGGGGAGGGAGCTATTTTGCTGTTCAGATGCTGGGGAAAGGCTGGGGGACAACGGCCACAGGCGCTCTGTCTCTGCAGGATGAGATGCATCTGCCCCATGAGACCCAGGGTTTCCTGAGCTATAACAAGCACCACCTCATTAGTGGTGAAAGTGTCACCATAAATACCTGGAGCTGGCGGTGTCAAATGGTGGGTTAGGAATGTCTTCAAACACAGTGCAGGGGATTTAACTTGCCCTGAGGCACCTGCACCCAGCGAGGAGCTGGTGAACCTGCCCCATCTGTTATGGTCAGGTGTTCCAGGTACAGGATGCAGAGCTCAGCCCAAACCCAGCACATGCTCAGATGGCAGCGCGGCTCCCACCCACCCAGCAGGAGGCAGAGGCACTCACTACAGTACTGGGGTCCACGAAATGTGACGATAGCTCCCGGGGGACCGGGACCGAGGCAATTGCTGAAGGGGGAGTGGTCCAGCGCTAGGAAGGGGAGGAAGAGATGACGTCACTGCTGAGCCAGGCTCCACCTCAGGTCCCTGACCAGCTGAGCTGAGAACTCCCAGGACCTTTTCTGCCCTATCTAGAATTGGCTTTGCTAGTGGCCCTACGTGTTCTTTACTTTCACATTCTTGCTGCCACAGAGACTGGCTAAAAAGGCAGTCCAAACAACTGGAAATTCTACCAACATTTAAAATGCACAGGCCTGTGACCCCGAGATCCCACTTCTGGGGCCCCATGCTGTACAAACTCTAGCAGAAGTCTACATCGTTTGTACCCAAACTGCACATAGGAACTGGCAAAATATATGATAGTACTGTAGGGTATTATGTAGCTATTTAAAAAGAATGAGGGAGGTCTTACCAAGAAGCTAGACACAAAATAGTATATACTATAGGGCTGCATTCATATGAAGTTTAAGAACAAGAAAAAAGAATCGATGGTGAAAGTGGCCAGAATAGTATCTCTGGTGAGGCTGTTGACTGAGAAGTGGCACCGGGGAACTTTCTAGATTCTAGAAGTGTTTTATATCTTGACCTGGGTGATGGTTACATGGGTAGAGATACTGGCGTGAAAATTCATGGAGCTATACACTGAAGACTAGCGTCTTTTAAATACTAGGTGTATGTTACACCTTCATATAAAAAGTAAAGAAAGAAGAACTGACTTGGGAAAATGGTAAAGAAAAACCAAAAGAGTTGCAGAATAATATGTATGACTTCATTTTTGTAAATGCGTGAGCCCGGGGAAAAGTCTGGACAGACAGCAAACCCTTAATAGCGCTTCCCTCTGAGTGGGGGGCTGGAGGCGAGGACCACTTTACACATTTCCCTGTTGTTTGCATTTGTAATGTTTGACTCTGCTGCCCTCCGTTTCTGGCTCCTCATTTCATGCGAGCCCCTGCTCCTGCTTCTCTGTGAGTCCCTTGCCCTTGGCGGCGTGGGCTTTGGGCTACTTGGGGAAAACTGGTTCTACATCTCAGTTTAAGACTTGGACTTTGCAACAGGATCTTTGGACGTTGCCCAGCTGAGTCTGCCAGGGTCTCTGCTCATTGGCCCACATGGACCAGGATCCCAGAACACAGCAACCACCTCCTAGGAGGAGCAAGGTCAGGTGCCTCCTCTGAACAGGCCCTGTGGAAGGTGCTGGTGAGGCCTGAGAGCAGCAGCAGAGCCCTCTGAAGCCAGAAACAAGCAGGTGGAGAATGGCAGGGTGACTTAGGGCTACTAATTGGTCCTCACAGCCTTGGTTACAAATGATCCTGGAGGTAAATTCCGGTCACACCTCAAGCCAGGCAAATGAACCCTTGCTCTGTCCCCTCTTTAATATGGATGTGACACCTGCAGGTTACAGCTTGTAGCACTGTGAGAATTATTTCTCCATTAA